CATGCCTGCACTTCTGCGTGGCTGCCTGCTGAAACAGGCAGGGTTGCGGTGGGCAAATCAGAGAAATGCCTTTCACACACACAGTGCCACTTCAAGAGAAAGTGCAGGCTCACTGTTGAGGCATGCAGGAAAAGACACAGGAGGAACCTGTCTAAATTATATGGATAATTTGCAAATGTGCAAACAGCAGCCAGCATAAAATGTGGGTTTTTGAAGGCGGAAAGGAAAGGAAAGGAAAGGAAAGGAAAGGAAAAAGGGAGGAAAATGAAAGGAAAGGGAAGGGAAGGAAAGGAAAGGAGAGGAGAGGAGAGGAAAGGAAAAAGGGAGGAAAATGGAAGGAAAGGAAAGGAAAGGAAAGGAGAGGAGAGGAAAGGAAAAAGGGAGGAAAATGGAAGGAAAGGAAAGGAAAGGAAAGGAAAGAGGCAGGAAAATGGAAGGAAAGGGAAGGGAAGGAAAGGAGAGGAAAGGAAAGAGGGAGGAAAATGGAAGGAAAGGAAAAGAAGAAATTAAGAAAGAAGAGAAAGAAAAATAAAGGAGATAGGAGAGATAAGAGAATGAAAGAAAAAGGAAGGAAGGAAGGAGAGAAAGAAATGTAGATGAGGGAGATAGGGAGGAGTGATAAGAGAATGAAAGAAAAAGGAAGGAAAGAAGGGAGGGAAGGAGGAGGAAGGGAATAAAAGAAAAAAGCAAGAGAGAAGAAGAAAAAGGAGGAAGGAAGGAAGGAAGGAAGGAAGGAAGGAAGGAAGGAAGGAAGGAGAGAAAGAAGTGTAGATGAGGGAGTCAGGGAGGATAGATAGGAGAAAGAAGAAAGAGGGAGGGAAGGAGGGAGGGAGGGAATGAAAGAAAAATGCAAGAGGGAAGAAGGAAAAGGAGGAAGAATGAAGGAAGGAAGGAAGGGAGGAAGGAAGGAAGGAAGAAAAGAAAGAAAGATTTTGCCTACTCTCGCTATTTTATCCTCTCCGGACCTCTCTCTATTTCTTCAGATTATCTAGAGAGGTCTCAGACCCTCAAACTGGCTGGGCTCAATTTCTGAATCTCCCAACCTTGCTAAACTACATTGTCCATCCTTCCTTACAACTGTCCATGCTGGCCTGGCTGTGGGAGATGGGTTCAAGAACACCCAACTGCTCAGACCCGGGAGCTCACTGTTCCGTTGTGGCAGAAGTCAACCTTTGCTTTATTTCGGCTGAAACCTGGCAAGGTGAGCAAGGTGGAGCGTGCTTACTTTTCAGGTGTGGTTCATTCATTTTCTGAAGGCTGGGCCAGGAAACTGATGGGGAAAAAAACCCCTTTTTTTTGTGCCACTGAGATGGAGATGCCGTGTTATCGCCAGCAGCCGGACTGAATCGGATCTTATTTTTATTGTAGGGGTGAAAAAATTCATGGCTAGCTTAGAAGCCAACTTAAGCCTTTGAGACGTTGCATTTGGACCCCCAGAGACAGCTGCGAAGAACCCAAGGCCCTGCCTTCCCCAACACAGCCTGTCTCCAAGGGGCTGAACCACAAGTGGCCTTGGCTACAGGAGAGAGAGAGAGAGAGAGAGAGAGAGAGAGAGAGAGAGAGAGAGAGAGAGAGAGAGAGAGAGAGAGAAACAGCCCCCCCCAAAAAAAGCAGGACAAGGCTGGCTCTCCGCTTCTTCCTGTCCTGCAAAGTGGCCAAGAAAACCAGGCGCTTTGCTTTGCACGGTAAATGCAAAGATTTATTCCTTTCATTAAAAGCTTCTTTAATTTCCCTCTGCCCTGCCCCCCCCCCTTTGCAAATCCCATCGTGGGATATATTTTATGCACCTAATTATGCGCAGGGACCAGAAGGGAAGCAATGGGAAGCTGTTTGAAGAAAGCTGGAACTGGAGGGGGGGGAGGAACCTGAGGATGGGGGGGTTCACAGGTGGGAGGGGGGCAAAATCAATGCTTCCCTCAGATCCCCCCCCAAAAGCTCTTTGTTTCCCACTGGTCTTTAAGAGGGTGTCGGAGAGCTGAACATCAAAATAAACATAAAACTTTCTCTTGCCTGAATCTTCTGCAAAAACTGGACTTTCGACCTACAGAGAGTTCCCGACTTACGACTTTCCATTTATCGACTATTCAAAGTTACGACGTGCTGGAAAAAAAGTCCTTGCACGTACGACGGCCGCAGGGTCCCTGCGGTCCACGTCTGGAGGCTTGACGTCTGCCAGGCATTCGTGATGGCTGCAGCGAGTTGCGATCGCGTGGTCTCCATTTGCGACCTCAGACAAGCCCAGGCCGTAACGAGGGAAGCCCCGATTCGCTTAACGATGGCACGGTTCGCTTAGTGACGGCCGCAAAAAGGTCACAAAGCTGGATGCGGCTCACAAGGACGGTGCATAAGTGTAACAAAATACAGGTGACGACCTCAGCTGACGACCACAGTCGGGCCCAAAACTTCTGCACTGAAGTGAGGCATTTGTTGAGTTTTGCCTCCTTTTATGACCTGTCTTGTCGTTAAGTGAATCACCGAAAGTTGATGAGTGAGTAATCCGGTTGTTAAGTGTATTTGGCTTCCCCATTGCTCGTCAGAAGTTCGCAAAAGGGGATCGATCACGTGACCCCGGAACGATGAGAGCGTCATAAATGTGAGTCGGTGGTCCGGCGTCTGAATTTTGATCATGGGGATGAGGCAAAGGACGTAACTGTGAAAAAAAAACGCTCTCGAGTCTCTATTTTCAATGCCTGTTGTAACTTGGAACGGTCACTAAATGAACTGTGGTAAGTGTAAATGAACATGAACTGATTAGCAACGGAGTTTCTGGCCAAAATCCTGCCCGGGATTGAGCTAAGAGCGCCAGATCCCAAACGGAGGCTCCCCTGGATGGGGCAGACCCCTTCAGAAGACCCATCTGGCTTCTCCTGCTGCCTCGCACTCGCTACCAGATCCACCTCTCCACCTCCCTGGTCCGCCATCCCGCTCTTCGGAGAGCTGTCGCCTTGGCAGCGGCAGCGCTGGGACTTTCCCCTCTCTCGAAATGCATCAATTTGTAAATATCTTCATTTACATGTAAATGTGGACTCCTTATCCCCCCCCCCGTCTCTCTCGCCAATCAAGCGACCGTGGCAGCTGCATCTGCCGGCAACTTCAGCAGCCTCGGTGGGCCGCGGCTGAGCCGTGGTCCATTCCGCTGAGAAGCTCCCCTTCCCCACCCCACGTTCTTGCCCTTTTCTCCCCCCCCCACCCTGCTTCTCCACGTCGTGCGTCGATTCTTGTTTCCAACATTTCTTTCTCTGCTGAACGACGGACAGCTTCCTGTCCCTTCTGCTCCGCACGTGGCGGGTGGCAACATACAATCGCCACTGTACCACGGGACGTGTTGACAGCAACTACAATCACAACTATGCAGCAAAAAGAGAAAGTGATAGCACCAGCAATAGCACAGACTTATATACCGCTTCACAGGGCTTTGCAGCCCTCTCTAAGCAGTTTACAGAGTCAGCCTATTGTCCCCCCAACAATCTGGGTCCTCATTTTACGGACCTTGGAAGGATGGAAGGCCGAGTAAAGCCTTGACTCGGTCAGGATCGAACTGCTGGCTGCAGACAGAGTCACCCTGCAATACTGCCTTCTAACCACTGCACCACCATGGCTCTTAATGGAATATTTGATCAGCTACAGCAATAACAATAGCCCTTAGACTTATATACTGCTTCCCAGGGCTTTGCAGCCCTCTCTAAGTGGCCTCTTGCCCCCCAACAATCGGGTCCTCATTTTATCGACCTCGGAAGGATGGAAGGCTGAGTAAAGCCTTGACTCGGTCAGGATCGAACTGCTGGCTGTGGGCAGAATCAGCCTTCAATGCTGCATTTTAACCATTGCACACCATGGAAGGAAGGAAGGAAGGAAGGAAGGAAGGAAGGAAGGAAGGAAGGAAGGAAGGAAGGAAGGAAGGAAGGAAGGAAAGATAGCACTTGGACTTATATACCGCTTATATCCCGCTTCACAGTGCTTTACTGCCCTCTCTAAGTGGTTTACAGGGTCAGGCCTTTTGCCCCCAACAATCTGGATCCTCATTTTACCGACCTCAGAAGGATGAAAGGCTGAGTCAACTTTGAGTCGGTCAGGATCGAACTGCCAAACTGCTGGCAGTCATCAGAATTAGCCTGCAGTACTGCACTCTAACCACTGCGCCACCACAGCTCTTCTGATGCCCCAAAAATGTGCGCCAGAGCTCAAGGTGGCATAGAAAGTACTCCCCAACCTATGACCATAATAGTGATTTGCCATTACAGGTGGTCCTCTACTTACGACCAACAATTGAGCCCAGCATTTCTGTTGTTAAACAAGGAAGTTGTTAAGTGAGCTTTGCCCCATTTTACAATGCCACAGCTGTTAAGGGAATCATTGTGTAGTTGTTAAGACAGCCACCTGGTTGCTAAGTGAATCTGACTTCTCTATTGACTTTAGGGATCACATGACCCGGGGATGCCGTAACCGTCATAAATACGAGTCAGTTGCCGAGCATCTGAATTTTGATCACGTGACCGTGAGGAGGCTGCCACGGTCGTAAGTGTGGAAAAACGGTCATAAGTCGCTTTTTTCAGTGACATAACTTTGAAGTAAATGAATGCTTGTTAAGTTGAGGACTACCCGTACGGTCGTAAGTCATGATAGTTGTACAACGGCTCACCCATATGAACCGACACAATTTTGCTACCGTTTTTGTGGTGATTGCTGGGTGAATGCCAAGGTTGTCAAAATCCTTGACTTATGGCTGCTATCGTTGATGCCTGGAGCCATAAAAGGGTCTTCATCAAGCCAGACCCCACTGAAATTTGTGGTTTAATTCAGGTCTTCCAAGCAACGTCATTCCGTTCATCTGCTCATCGTGGATTTTTGACCCATGATCATTGGGTTTCTGTGGCTAAATCAAGTCAACCTGACTCTGTGAAATAAATCTGATTTGTAATGGGATATTCAACAACTCTGCTTCTATCTCTGCACGGTTACGGCGCGTGGGAACTATTTGGAAAGGAGATGGTTTGAGTTACCTCACTGTGGACTGGTAGACCAGGTCTTCTCTCTTGCGGTAGTTCTCCATGTGTGACTGGTTGGTGGAGAACATGGCATCAAAAGTGAAGATTTTCTGTTTGATGGTGCCACCGTCTGTTACCTGCCAAGGGATATATCAGAGAAGAGAAAAATTAAAAAATTTGGAGCGCTTCAGAAGATGTCAAAGGATGGAGGGAAGTTCATGAGATGTTCACCACCCTTCATGGTTGATGGTTGAACATCTCGTTTGTTTACCCATTGACACCACCTCCCAGAAGATATTTAATTCAACTGGCAGTTGAGAGGGTGCAAATTGCAACTTCCGTCATCCCCATCCCAGTATCTTTGCTGGTTGAACTGGGGAAGAAAGGATTAGATTGCATGGATCCTCTTTCAGGCACGATACTCATTTCATTATAAAAAAAAACCAGGATCCACCTCCCAGAAGACCTTTAACTAAGTAGTGGGTTCACGCATCGCACCTAACCCGAACCTTTCTTGAATTTGCTTATCACAATTTCCAGAAACAATGAATGAATGAACCATCTTTATTTTACAGAAAGTCACCAGCTGAAATCCCAATTTCATATCTGCTTCTCCAGTGCAATAATACGGTGTTCAAACGGGTAGATTTGGCTCCAAGACAATTATGCAGCTTCCTTCACAATTATACACTGATTTTCCCAGACTCCCACTTGTAAATTCTTAATTCTACTACCTTTTTCCCTGAAAATAATTTTGAAATGTTTTTTTCACCTCTCACCCCTTCGTATTTCTCTTGATTTCCTCTAGCATCTGCTTATTCGCAGCTACGTAGTTTAAAAATAAGCTCATATGAAATGGGAAGGGGAGGAAGGAAGGAAGGAAGGAAGAAAGGAAGGAAGGAAGGAAGGAAGGAAGGAAGGAAGGAAGGAAGGAAGGAAGGAAGGAAGGAAGAAAAAAGGAAGAAAGAAAAAAGGAAGGAAGGAAGGAAGGAAAGATGTGTGAGAGATGATAGATAGATAGATAGATAGATAGATAGATAGATAGATAGATAGATAGATAGATAGATAGATAGGCAGGCAGGCAGGCAGGCAGACAGACAGACAGACAGACAGACAGACAGACAGACAGACAGCTAGATGTGGGATAGAGATAGATAGATAGATAGATAGATAGATAGATAGATAGATAGATAGATAGGCAGGCAGGCAGGCAGGCAGACAGACAGACAGACAGCTAGATGTGGGATAGATAGATAGATAGATAGATAGATAGATAGATAGATAGATAGACAGACAGACAGACAGACGTGGGAGAGATGATAGATAGATAGATAGACAGACAGACAGACAGACAGATGTAGGAGAGATGATAGATAGATAGATGTTTGAGATGATAGATGGATGAATGATAGATACAGAAATGATAAATGGAGAGAAAGATAATTAGATGTCTGTGAGACGATAGACATATATATATATATATAGAGAGAGAGAGATGTCTGAGTTGATAGATGGCTGGATGATGGATAGATACAGACAGATGATAGATGGAAAGAGAGAGATAATTAGAGGATTGTGAGATGATAGATAGATAGATAGATAGATAGATAGATAGATAGATAGACACCGACAGACAGAGAAAGAGAAATGACAGACAGATGGACAAGTTGAGTGGATGGAGGGATGGAAGAAAACAGAGTTATCTTCTCAAATAAAAACAAAGAAAGAGCATCTGAGGGCAAGAGGGAACAACCCCATCCGTCTCCAGGGAAGGGCTGGGCCAGACCCAACATGGCTGCCATTTTGTGAGACCTGAAAGCGGGTCCTCCGGGCCTCATGCGGAGCGTCCTGCTTGCTTGCTGGCCCAGAAGGGGAAGCCATAAAACGGGAGGGAGAGAAAGACAAAAGACTCTTCAGACCCACCAGAACCGAGAGCGCTACTCTTTCGCTTCCACCTCAGCTATTCCCAAGTTACACCTCGTTGTTTCCAAGATAATAGGTGACAAGATGTGAGCCCGCTAATGAAATAACACACCTGCCGGCAGTGTCAAAATGTCTCTTCTGAGGAAAAAGCAGAGGGTGGTAATAGGCTCCTTCAGAGCAAATGTCTAGGGAGTAAATAAATAAATATCCTGGGAGATGGAGGAGTCGTGGGCACGTGGGGGTGGGCAAGGGGGCAGGAATTGGGAGAACAGCAGAAATACCTCGCCTTGCGTTAGGGAGACAAAGAGCTAGGTCGCTGCGTTCACGTAACACAACAAGCCGTAGTTTCTCAAACATGGTTATCTTGCTAAATCTCAATTAGCTGCAACGGTGTCCACATTAAGCCATAATCTGCAATTTGTAAAGGATAATGTCTTTGGTGCTCTCTGAGTTGGGCTGTTTTTTTTTTTTTTTTTTTTTTGCAGACGTCTCATGACCCAAACTAGGTAACACCATCAGTGCTAGGAGGAGGAGGAGGAGGAGGAGGAATAAAGAGGGATTCTTGCTGCCCTCTGAGCTTGATTGTTTTCTTGCAAATGCTTCATTACCCAAAGCAACCTAGAACTAAGGAGAAACTTCCTGACAGTGAGAACAATTAACCAGTGGAACTCCTTGCCTCCAGAAGTGGGGAATGCTCCCACACTGGAGGATTTTAAGAAGAGACTGGCCAGCCATTTGTCTGAAATGGTATAGGGCTTCCTGCCTGAGCAGGGGGTTGGACTAGATGACCTCCAAGGTCCCTTCCAGCTCTATTTACTCTACTCTACTCTACTCTACTATCCTATCCCTATCCCATTCCATTCTATTCTTTTCTATTCTATTCTAATCAAGGAGAGAAGCAACCTGGAACTAAGGAGAAACTTCCTGACAGTTAGAACAATTAACCAGTGGAACAGCCTGCCTCCAGAAGCGGTGAATGCTCCAACACTGGAAGTTTCTAAGAAGAGATTGTCTGAAATGGTATAGGGTTTCCTGCCTGAGCAGGGGGTTGGACTAGATGACCTCCAAGGTCCCTTCCAACTCTTATTATTATTATTATCAGCGCTATCTAGTACCAACTAGCACTGATAATGTTACCTAGTTGAGTAGTAAAACGTCTGCAAGAAAACAACCCAATTCAGTTGAGCATCAAGGACACCCTCATTTCAACCCTGAGCTACCAATATTCTCCTTTATTGATAAAGATAACAGCTGAGTTACTTATGCATTTGTTTTGCATAACCTTCATAGGAATTTATTGATTAAGCATTGATCCACAGGCATAACCCATGGTTTTACTGATCGTGGTTTGATCTTAGACTGATCTCGCAAGCCGCTTTGGGCACAGCTGCTGCAGACGGCCAAATAAACAGATGGAAATGCAGCTAGTCCTCGTTTAGTGGCCACAATTGGGAGCTGCAACCTGGTCGTTAAACAAAGCAGTCACTAAAGGAAACTGCGGCTGCAATTATGATCTTACAGATCTGCAAAGGGCAACGATCAATGCAAGGATGGCCCTAAACTTTTTTCACCTGTGTTGTAGCTGCAAACGGTCACTAAACAAGGCAGTTGCTGAATGAGGAATACCTGTAGCAAATTCTAACCCGGTATATTTTTTTTCTCCCATTGGTGAAAAAAAAATATATCTTTTTCTTCTTTTTTTCCAAATGAAACACTTTGCATCTGTTTGACAAAAAAGGAACTACAGGGGAAAAAAATATATATCTCCTCCCCATCCTTTGCGATAACTGGTCAGGATGACCTCTGACCTCATTTTAAGATTTATTTTCTTGGGTGAGCGCTGGGCAAACTTGAAACGGCGAGATGAAAGCTTGAGCAGCCCTTCAGAAGCACTTCTGCCTTTACCTCTGCACAGCTGTAGTTTTTTAAAATGCACCCAGCGTTGCCTTAGTTGAAATTTCATTCTGGTTCTCCCCCCCCCCATTTTATTACATGGAAACAGGGCTGTGGGAGAAAGTGAGGGGGGGGCAACTGTCAGTAAAACTGTCTCTGCAAATTTATTTGCCTAAGCCAAGGTTTTATTACAAAGAAAATACACACTCTCCAGGCACACAAGGGGGGGGGGAGAGAAAAGACACAGAGACAAGAGAATTATCTGGCTTGTAAATCACACACACTTCAGAGAGAAACACACACTGGAAGTTTTCAAGGACATAACCAATTATGCAGGGACTCCAAGGTTGATTTTGTGGCTGTTGTTGTTATTATTGTTGTTGTTGTTGTTGTTTTGTTATCATTATCATCATTATCATTATTATTCCTATTATTATTTTTTCATTAGCTTGGGCTAATGAGCAAATACCTAAATCCCTTCCTCCATATGTGATTGCCCCTGTACTAGAAATTGCTAGAGGGTGACAAGATTTGACTTGCTCCTGGGACAGATATTACAACTACAATCCTAATAGTACTTCCAGTATCTCAGGGGCTGCCCCAAAGAAGAGGGAGTCAAGCTATTCTCCAAAGCGCCTGAAGGCAGGACAAGAAGCAACGGGTGGAAACTAACCAAAGAGAGAAGCAACCTAGAACTACGGAGAAACTTCCTGACAGTGAGAACAATTAATCAGTGGAACAACCTGCCTCCAGAAGCAGTAAATGCTCCAACACTGGAAGTTTTTAAGAAGAGACTGGACAGCCATTTGTCCGACATGGTATAGGGTTTCCTGCCTGAGCAGGGGATTGGATTAGATGACCTCCAAGGTCCCTTCCAACTTTACTACTACTACTACTACTATTACTACTACTACTACTACTACTACTACTACTACTACTACTACTACTACTACTACTACTACTGTTGTTTAACATTTGGCTTTCCTCAAAGTTTTGTTTAATTAATATATATTTAATTCACTAAATATTCGCTCTGCTCTTTTAAAAAATGAATCCACTTATTGACAAATTCATCCCCCAGTCTATTTTGCACATGCCATTAAGCTGGACATCAGAAATGTTAGAAATAACAAAATAACAGAGCTGGAAGAGACCTTGGAGGTCATCTAGTCCAACCCCCTGCTCAGGCAGGAAAAACTATACCATTTCAGACAAATGGCTGGCCAGTCTCTTCTTAAAAATGTGGAGCACTCACAACTTCTGGAGGCAGGTTGTTCCACTGGTTAATTGTTCTCACTGTCAGGAAGTTTCTCCTTAGTTC